TACAATTAAACTCTATATTATTGAATGTGACACTGTCAAAGACTTCAGGCCACCTGGCTTATTGTATCATGAACTTTGTAATTACTACATTGAATCAGGGGTGCTTGAGGACATTCTTGCTGTTTATCCAAAATTTGCTGGCCCACACTGATTAGTCTTCAATAATTAGAATATGACGTCCAATGTATACGAACCACTGTCCTGCATGGCAATGAACAGTGACATCACCCACATGAATATGACCTATATATATTGTCAATGAATAAGATCCATTCCTTTGTGTATGAACCTCTGTCCTGCGTGGCAGTGAGAAGTGATACCACCCTCAGTGTCAAGACCTGACTGAATTACTCAGAATAGACAAACTGTACTCTAAGCTTTGTCAATAAATTTGTTAAACTAAAAAACTAAAACTTCAAAAAGATGGTTTCCCGGAATCTTCGTGGTGTAGATTAATATAATATTTTTCTTTTCTATTTTAATATCTTTTTACTCTTATTTTTTCGCCCCCTTAGGACCCATTGTGGGTCGAGGACCTGTGCCCGGGTTGGCTATTCCCGCTAAGAAAAAAAAATAATAACAAACAAAAACATCTCTCCCCAAAAAGTATCGGCCCCCCCTTGGCTTGATGATATTTGGAAATGAACACAATAACACTCGCGCAGCATCTCGGGTCGGTTGGTATTTCTGATTATGAGTTGCACCTTTCGTTCTTTCTTCTTGCCCTGATAATCACCATGATACCTGCAGTGTATCAGCTATTCGCTACACAATGTAATGAAAAAGGATAAATTGTGATACCATATGAAAAACCAATAATATCAAGAGTAACCCCGTTGATTTATGGACCTTAAATACTTTTGTTTTCATATTTCAGCCCCAGGGGATGGGTTGCTTAATAGGAATATAACGTTACTATGTTTTCATTAACCGAGGTTAGTATGTTGCGATATTACATTCATTTGCAAATATAGTAGTTACAAGTGTATTATGATGTCATATCCAATTACAATAACATTATGATTTACTGCATTTTGACATTATTTCTACCTCATTGATGGAGTAACAATAACGAATATAACAAATCATTTCATGATTCGTACTGGCAACAGAACATTATCTGATACACACTAAGGCCCGAATTCATAAGGATGGTTTGAAACCACGTGAAGGTTTAAGCCAAGGATCGAGCGAAGATTGATGGTATTTAGAAAGCTGGCTTGAGCAAACAAAGATTCAAACCGGGTTTGAGATCGGAATTGTCGAATCTCACGTCAATCCAGCCTGGAGGCAGGTTTAGTGGTCGATCTGTCATTCAAGACAGCACGTCAACATGAATTTTGACAGAGATCGTTTTTCAGTGATATCGTCAAATTGGAAATTTTGTAGAGCAGATAGGTAGATTGGTAGAATCCTATAAATTTTTATTATGACTCGCAATTCAAACAACGATTTAAGTTCAGCAAGGGAGATTTCCTTGATATTTTCCGTGATATGGAGCATCTACTTAACAGACCTGTTGGCTATGGTTCACCTCTACCTCACATTCATCAACTGATGAATGCTTTGAAATTCTTTGCAACAAATAGTTTCCGGGTAAGAAATATTCTGGTTACTGAATGAGTTATGGTAAAGTGTCAAAACACTTTTGTGATTAAGGGCCATGAGGATCAAGCGGGTAAATGTAGATAACGCCGACTCTTCTTTACTTTAAGTGTTTCTTTAGGAAAACAATTTTGATGTATTTTAAATATAATTTAATCAATACTGAGTATTAATGAAGGAAAGTCTTTTCTTAACATTAATAATCAGGGGAAATGTGGGGTTAAACCTACCAGGACCGAACCTAGCCAGGTTACTATGCCATGCATTGATTCATCTTGCTTTGGTTATGAATATTGACACCTGTCCCGGATTATATCTATAATTTGTATGAAATTGTTCTTTCTCTATGAATTTCCTTGTTATTATACAACAACACAGCCACCCTGTAACACAGTACCATAAATCATTATAATTTGATCATAAATTGATTGCAATTATAGCAACAAAAGTAACTTATGATGTGCAAGGAGAGATTACTCCTCCTCCGTAAAAACTCGTCGAGTCGTAGTTGCCGCCATAATCTTGTAAACATTACTCTCGATGGTGATTGGTTGTCATAATGGTGTTACTGAAAAGTGATTGGCTTGAATTTCAGTGTTCGAATCCTTGCTCATAACTGAAGAAAATGCAACAGATTACCCGATCCAGAGTTCAAGCCTCTCTTATGAATATGGGTAATCCACTGCAGGAAATCTCGGATCGAGGAATCCCGATTCGCACCCCTGTGCTGAGCTCAAATCCCAGGCTCAAACCACAGTTCTGAATTCGGGCCTCAGCGACAGCGACAGATCCAGGAATATCAAAGGGGGTCTAAGAAGTAGTGGGTAGGGGAACACGGCTAGCACGGCTAGCCCTCCCACCTGATTTTTTAGGGGGGCACTGTAAGCAATTTGAAGCCATTTTTTCACCATGTGCACATGATATTAGGAAATATTCTGAGGTCAATATTAATTACTTTTTACTATATAGAAAACGCCTGAGTACAATACTGCAAAAAAGAAAAGAATTTAAATTTTTGATGAAAAGGAGGGATCTGGTCCCCCCAATGGAGCCACCCCTACAAGTTGTGTTTTCCAGCGAGTCTCGGGTACTATAGTGAGTTTATTCCCAGCTGTAAAAAGATGCCCCAGTGGTAGAGCGGTACCGCTCTTGCCTCGCAAGCAAGATGTCACGGGTTCGATTCCCGGGCAGGTGGAAAGTTGTTTGGACACACTTCCCAGCCTCCCTTGGTCCCTGTTCACCTAGCAGTAAGTAGGTACCTTCTGTAAATCGAAAAGTTGCGAATTCGTATTCAGGGAAAGTTGTTGGAGCTTCTACTCTTGTAACGAACACAATCTGGAGGAGTGGTGACCCGAGGATCACACACCCAACACAGACAAAACCCAATATGTGCGCTGTGAGCTTACCAAATAAGCGCAGTCGTGTAAAGCCACGGCACTATCTCTCCCACTACAATTTCCTCCCTAACCCCCTGCTTCTTCCCCTGTCATCTTCCACGCTCTGACTTTCGCTACCAGCATGTTTTTGGAGCTTCTACTCTTGTAATCTTTCGCTGGCTCTTTCGCTTCTAATACTTGTATCTACATATCTATCTTTCGCTACCAGCAACTTTGGAGCTTCTATTACTGGTATCGTATCAGCAAAGCTGCTTTCATTAGTCCAGGTATCAAAATAAGTACTTTGTTTAATATAGCGGGCTCCGCCCCCGGCTAGGAAGTTACATAAGGTTAGTTAGGTTTTTTTGATTGGTTAAATTAGGTTCTTTTAGGTTCTGTGTATTTTGTATCGTTTTTATTAATCACCATCATCCAAAGAACACCTGTGGAAAATATGAACGAAGTTGAACAAGGAGCTCTGATGTTACCCATCTGCCGCAGGATTACCAAATGTTTAATTTTCAACAAATAATACGATTGATGTAAACAAAAACTGTATCTTCCATCTTGCCAGAGTGCACTAGCCAAGAATGAAGAGTAGCAGGGAGTTCTGGCGGTGAGGGCTGCTGCAAGCCTTCCCATAAACTATTCTACACCTTTTTTTCATAATCCGTTGTACTCTCAAAAAGTGTGAGACTTAAAGTGAAAATATCATACGCAGTATGGTACCTCAATGTGTATTTCTCCTTGACTATTAACAAAGAAAATTGTTAGAAATGCTGAGTTGATTATGTCCTGTATTCGTCACCGTTGCTTCTTGCTTTACTATTTAATAAATATAAATTCCTCCAGGAATGGAATAAGAAAAGGCTGTCTTGGTCGACCGAAAAACCTGCCTCCAAGCTGGAGGATTAATGCAAGGATTGACAGATCCGACTTCAAACCTGGTTTGAACTTGTGCACCAGCATTCAGAATAACGGCAAGATTCAATCATAACTAGATACTTGGTTTAAACCTACACTCGGGTTGAAACCAGTATTTTTAATGTAAATTCAATGCAGATATGAGACTCTTCATGCACAGTTATTCATTTTAAACACATATCTCAAGGTAACATAAGTCATTTCAATAATAAAAGGACCTTGATCAAATTTAACGCAACTCATTTTATTATCAAGTTTATACTGAAATGAGTTAGTTTATACCGTACTATAAACTAACAGCACAATAATAAGTAATGACCTGTGTGGAATAGTAGCTTCAACACTAACGCATTTTTTTTACATTCACTTATTAGTATCCTGAAGGAGCCTTCTGACCCACAATCATTTTTTTTAAATCAAACCCTCACGATTTGGTTCGGGTTATTATTTATTAATCAGACGGTGGTTATTGGAACAGTCGGGATAAGTCTTCGGGTGCCTACCTACACCTGAAGACTTGTCCCGAAAGTTATAACTAGTTATATATAAATAGAAAAAAGTCTGAAATACAATATATGTAAATTAACCCCTAGGCTCCTGGTCTCGTTCTATGTTGTGTGTCTGTAGAGGTTCCTGTCATGTTACTTGACATTTTGATCTTTTACGGGCCTATTTTAATAAAAAATAGGTGTGCCCTGTGAAATTGTGTTGAGAAGTAGATATTTATTTTTCACTCACTCACACCTGCGAGATTCCAAGTCTAATTCTCAGTAGCTTCTGAGCTTTTGTGGTGTCGGCATCTCCCTTGGACTTGACTCACTTTATCATGTGTATATACCCTTCCTCTTATTCCCAAGCACAAGTCTAGTATTGCGATCAATTACTGAATCAGTAATGATTGTTAATAGGCTAATAATAATAACATAGTAAAGCTGTACCTCATATTGCCTACAAATTAGTGTTTACCTCGTTAGTACTGCATCACACACACACACACACACACACACGCCACTTCACGAACGTTCTTAACTCTTCCTAGCCAACCTGTGGTAAGTACATTTATTTATTTTCTGTTTATATCATGCATGGCCAGTTTGTAAGACTAGAATTGGTTTTTTATTTATTTATTTTTAATGTTCCCGAATATACAGTACAAGATTCATAATATACATCTGCCAGATTACAAGTACTGGGAGGACAGCAGTGATGACTTTCGGCCACTGGAGGGTACACTGTTGCCGCTGTGGAAGTTGACTGGATACAAGACCCGCAACTTGCAAGTGGCAGACATCTGTTGGAGCCCTATCTATCCTGACCTTTTGGCTGCTGCCTACACACCAGGTATGTCCTGTGGTGTGTGTGTGTGTGTGTGTGTGTGTGTGTTTATGTACTGTGTGGGGTTTGTGTGTTAGGAAAAGGGAGCGCCAAGATGTGTGCTTGCAGCCTGCGTCACCACATAAATCAACTCACGCACAGCCATTATCCAGCTCATCATACTTTTCACCATCAAAATCACTAAACCCCCAAAAGTCGTATGGCGACAAACAAGTGGCGATGGGGTCAGACAAGTGGCGATGATTGCCGTGAGACTCTAGTCACAACTCTGCACATGGGCGGCATAGATAAGATGATCGTTGATGCACTGGGATCGAGACAGCAGTGCAATCCGCTCCTATCTGTGCGACTGAGCAGCCCTTTCAAAGAGCCACTCTGCTCAACCCACATGGGGAGGAGACTAGAAAATGTGCTCTGAACAGAGCATGCCTAAAAAAAATGGGGAACTGCACCAAAGACGGTCATCCTAAATGAGGTCGAGAACATAACCACAGATCAAAGAAAAAACCAAGTGTACTGTACAACCTCTTATGGTCACTGCATGGAATACCGACACAAATGAGCATCCTGAAAGAAGCACAGCTGTCTATGTATAACATCGACATAGCAGCCAGTAATGAGTCCTGGCTTCTTGACAAGGGTCGACTCAAAGAGCGGGGTCCGGCGATACTTTCTTCTTGTAACGTAGCCTGCTGCGGAGAGAAAGCATTTATGGAGTTGGCTTTGTCATTCGCCAATCCATGCTACATAGGATAATTGAAATACCTGTTGGTGTCAACGAGCGCCTCATTACGCGCCGGGTCTCACTGAATTACTCACGTCATGTTTTCTTCATTAGTACATATGCCCCAACACTGGATGCAGAGGATGACATCAATAAGACCTTTTACCGACGTTGACTGAGCGCTAACTTCTATTCCCAGAACAGATAAGGTTGTGCTCCTAGGTGACTTCAGCGGCAGAGTTGCTGACTTATGGCAGGGAACCATGGGGGCGAAAACAAGATGAAATTCTTCAGATTTCTTGCAGAACAGGTGACAATGGTGCATATGGAATCAAAGGAAGTTTATACCACTTATAGTGAAAAGGTTATCTGTTTATCTGAACAGAATGGTGTCTTTTCCAGAACCTTGCTCGCATGAGGAGACAGATACGGGAATATTTCTCCACACTTCTGATACATCGGCGATCATGAAATTGCCCAGTGGATAGGAGTTGAAAAAGCATTGGCATTACCTAGGTTCTATGTTTTTACTAGGTGTGACGTCTCATTCTTCCCTGGTCTTGGAAGCAAGGACTGCATGGGACATGAGCAGTTTGTCCTAATCTGACAGAAAATTTAAAGACATTCCCTCAAAAACAATAGATTTTGTGGAACATTTTGTGGTGTTTTTATATTATAGTACGAGCCAGGTGTCATCAGTAAAGATAGCTAGAGAGTAATTTTTCTCTAAATCTTGGAGGGCGATTGGAAATATCCCACCAACCCAAGATGCAGTGAAACATCATGGAAAAAGTGTACAAGGCATATTGTTCAAGTACTCTACTGCAAAATATCAACTGTTGGTGCTGATTTTTTAGGTTATGTAAGACTCCATGCCCTTGCATCCACCAGGGGGCGCTCTGCACTGGGTTTCATATTCAGAAATGTTCAGAAAGGGTTAGAGTATTAGCAAACAAAAGTATATTCTTCTGTAAAAAATAAAGTGCACAATTATTCCTATTTCGGTCTCTTAGCCGCCCCACAATCACTACAGATGATCAACGAATCCACAGAATTCCCCCTAAAGTACTCAATCATCCTTTACATCGATGGCTTACTACTGGACACTTGCTCATATGCGGCATGCTGAGGAATGACGTGTTATGCCGAAGAGATGCGTCGCCTTCCGGATTGGGTGAGCACAAGAAGATGTAAACAACAGAGCATTTTGGGATCATCAACTACTCGCTGCACAATGAGCGGAGTGGAATGGTTATCAGCGATTCTCGTTCTGCATTATAGTCGATAGCCTCACCTCGATCCGTTTCATAAAGTCGAAGATGGACGCCCTCTTTATCCACTTTATATGGCTTCCATCCCATGTTGGCCTTCACAAACACGACTATGTAGACCTTACTGGCAAAATCCGCCTGCACCCTCCCTGATGAAGCTACAACCATAACTGTTGGTCGAGTCAAGATGCTCCTCAAAGAAGCTGATCTTCAAATCATATATGAAGAAAGTGCTAGTGATGTTCTTCGCCACTATGATAAATACACAAAATACCGATGCAGTCGGAACAATTGTATGACGTGGCTCAGTGATGTTGTTCTCGTCAGAATCAGACTTGCATGTAGGCCATGTTGGGAATTCTTGATAAATCTTTTGCCCTCGCTCACACTCTTATGTCTAATTTGTGGCGTAGCCTACATATAGGAAACGGATCCTTCAGTACAGTATTACATTTCAGAGTGCAGACCACTTCACTGCTTGTTACCACCTAAATAACCCGTTGCCGAACTCTGTAAATTAATCTTAAACACCAACGTCTTAGACACTATTTTACCGTTGTATCCAAAATTTTGTACCATAAAAAAGACATGCCCTAGCCTAGAGAATCCCTACTCCACCCACTTGTCAAAGCACACTCTTAGGGCGAGAGTTCCACGGTTTCATTACATGGCAATAACTTGCATCAACTAGAAGTCAACTTTGCTTAAAGCCTGTTGTGAAGCTCTCTCTTTGAGGGGAGAATTTATAGTCCTGTTTGACGATCGGCTGGCCTGTTATACAAGATTGTTGTCCCTATATGAAGAATATAAAAGGATGGCGAGTTTTAATACAAAGTTTCGCTAAACAAAACATACCATGATAACCAACACACGAGTAGAATAATTTTACAGTGAGAAGATAATCGCCCCGAAAAAAAATAATTAATTAATAAAAATAAAGACCCTCTTATTCAATTAAATAAATTTACTAAGTACTTCATTCTACCAAAGCTGTGGCTTCATATCAAAATTTTAGCTTCACAGTAACGGAGCGAAATAACTACACTCTTAGGAATAAAGGAAGAATATGATAAAATTAACAAAAAGCCATGTTAAATAATTATGAACGAAACGTAAGTTATTAATGTAATTTTTTTTTCATTCAGGAAGCGGCAGCTTGTATGAGGGGGGCGGACTCTTATGCCTCTACACCCTGAAGAATCCTGGCATCCCTGAACGTTCCCTGCCAACACCCTGCGGGCTTACGTCTGTACAATTCCACCCCACGGTGAGTCCTACCCACAGTTCTACATAATGAGGAATCTCGCCCACTCGCTATGGTTCTACCTCTGAATAGTTCTATATAATGATAAACATTGCCCACACGCTGCGGCCTTATCCACTGCAGTTCTTACACACATCCAGCAGCCGCATTACACAACAGTTACACCAGTATAGGAGAAGTACAAAACAAGGTATATATATACAGAGGGTGAGATCAAGTCCACAATGGTCAGGTATTAGGTAATGACCCTACTAATCTTTAAATGGCACTGCAGCAGTCGGTAGTCAGGTCAGAGGGTAAGCTGACCCAACCTTCTCACCTGGTTACAAATCTTCTTAATTACGAAATTATCCAGTTTGTACATACCATTACACAAATTCATGTTGACTGATTCGGTATGTTTAATGAGACTAGTTTCTATAATGTTCCTACTGTCAATTGAATCACAAGGTAATATTGAGGAGGCATTATCCCAGTCAATGCAATGCTTGTTATCCCTCAAATGAACAAACAGAGCATTGGATTCCTGGCCTGTCCTAACACTATATTTATGTTGTTTAAGTCTAGTTACAAGATCTTTACCTGTCTGGCCTAAGTAAAACATATTACATTCCTTGCAAGGAACCTTATAAATGCAGCCACCTGTATTGTTGGGGGAGTTCTTGATTAACATTTGTTTAACAGTGCATGAGTTTTTAAATGCCACATTGACGTTCCAGGTTTTTAGTTGTAAAGGAATTTGAGAGAAATTTTTGTGAAATGGTAATACTAAGAGATTCTTATGGTCATGGGTGGGCTTGGGATCGGTTCTATAGAAAGATTTCTTAGTAATGTTAAGGTGAGAGTGGATCACCCATTGCCATACCAAATTTTTGAGCATCATATTCTCCGTTAAATTCAAATTTACAATCCTTAATACATAGTTTGATGAGTTCGATGAAGTCATCAAAATATTGTAAATGTTATGAGATGAATGTGGTCTCTATGCTCTCTGCATTGTAGTGCTTCAATAGCACATCGTGAGTCAGTGTGTATTACAATGCCTTGTTGACTGTTTATGGAAGCGTGTCTTAGGGCTCCAAGTATGGCAGCTAGCTCAACTTGCAAAGTAGAGCATCCATCTGAGGTTCTCCAAAGGGACGTGTTACCTCCTTCTATGGTGAAGGCTGCTCCTGCCTTCGTACTGGTGGTCTCTATGGAACACGTCTGTATAATACACTGTATTATTGTGAGGTGTTAGAGCCTTCACGTTTCTCTCTGCTACCTGTCGGAGCTCATGTGGGTTACAGTCAGCCATTCTTGTCCCAGTTTGTAGAATGTTGAAGACTGCTGGCGGGGACTCCCACAGTGCTAGGGTGCTGTAGTCTGGACTCAATGTATCAGGTCCTTTGCTGAGGATTGTGTCTTTCGATTCCAGTCAATTTACAGCGTCAGCTGCACACAATAGCCATGTTTTCTTGTTAAAGACATCTCTGTTAAGGTTCAGTGCTCGTAAGAGTCGATTCTTGATGTCACTTTCCCGAGCCCTTGTAAACAGTTTTGTTTCAAAGCTCGCTGTTAATCGTTCCGTTCTGGTTTGGAGAGGGGAAGTTTAAATATAGGTCAGACCGATATATGAGCGATATGGGTTGGGTATAAACGGGGCTGCCTAGTATAGCCAATAGGCTCACTGCAGTTTCCTCCATTCTTATGTTCTTATATTAGAGGCGGGGAGTAATGTTGACTGATGTCAGACAGGATCTGTTGCTGGTAGTTAAGAGCTTCTGGGGGGAAATGAACGAAGCTCTACTGTTTAGATATCATGTCGCCCTTCAGCGTGAAAGTGTGTTGGTGGCTGGCAGGTGTGACGGGGCCGTTATGGTGTACGATGCTCGCCTCGGTCTGTTCCCAAGAGTGATTACGTCCTCCACCACCACTGGCAAGCATCTCCTTCCCGTGTACCAGGTACTGTTGTCCTCACTCTCTGTTCTGCATGTTCAATCTAGTAAATATAAGTATTACCACTCTTACGTAACTCGTACGCATAACCACAACAAATCCTGCTACCAGATCCAATTTTCAGGTAACATTGATATAATCATCACTTTAAAGCAATATTTACAACCGTCAGTATTGTTTAAGCGATGTTCAGCACTGTTATCAATGCTACAGGTAAATCTCACCTCCAATAAAAGGTTTCAGGTAATATGAACACCATGATGGAACTATGTTGACAATCATGAATACCTTTCTGGATATAAGAACATAAGAAAATAAGGAGTCTGCAATAGGCCGGTTGGCCTGTGCAGTGTGCATGGCAGCTCCTGTCGAGAGTTACTACCACACTCTATCATCCATGAATCTATCTAGCCTCCTTTTGAAACTTTCCAGAGTTCCAGCACTTACTACAAAGTTGCTAAGCTTGTTCCACTCGTCCACCACCCTATTTGTGAACCAGTTTCTTCCTATCTCCCTCCAAAACCTAAACTTATCCAACTTGAATCCGTTGCTCCGAGTCCTATCCTGCTCGGATATTATAAGAACTTTATCTATATCCCCTTTATTGATTCCTTTCACCCACTTAAATACTTCTATCATATCTCCCCGCACTCTTCGTCTTTCTAGGGCATGCAAGTTAAGTTTCTTTAGCCTATCCTGATATGGAAGGTTTCTAAGTCCCGGAATCATTTTTGTCATTCTTCGCTGCACCGACTCTAGTGAATTTATAACCATTCTATAATAGGGGCACCAGAACTGAACCGCATTATCGAGGTGTGGCCTGACTAGCGCAAGATATAGTTGCAATAAGACCTCTGCACTCTTGTTACTTACACTTCTAGATATAAAACTCAATACTCTGGTTGCCTTATTTCGAACATTAACGCACTGTTTTCTAGGCCGTAGGTCCGTAGGTGTTATATGTAGTGATGATGGATGATGTTATATGTACTGATGATGGATGGTGTTATATGTAGTGATGATGATGGACGATGTTATATGTAGTGATGATGGGTGGTGTTATATGTAGTGATGATGGGTGGTGTTATATGTAGTGATGATGGGTACACAATAAAATAATAGTTTAATGCTAAAAAAATTTACTTTGCTGTACCGTTGTAGTGGAACTTACATACACCGTTAATGAACTATTGATGGAAGAAGTTTTGGGGACTGGACAGTGAGACAATGTGGAGCCTCCCGAAGGGTGGCGTCCTACCGTAGCCTAGCGAATGAGCTGCCCGGACCTCGCTGCAGTCTTCAAGCTTTCACGGGAAGATGAGTTTGCTCAAATACTCCTGTATGTTGACGTACCCAAGTTCTACGTATGGCAGGCTTCAAATGAAAAAGTTCCAGAGAAGAGCTCAAGGATTCAATGTTGAAGGATATCCAGGGATAAAGTCAAGCAATGCTTTGGGACGTGTCTACACGGTTCACCCCAACAACTTTGAATGCTACTGTTTGAGATTATTTTTGCACCACATCCGTGGCTCAACATCACATGCAGCACTCAAGACAGTGAATGGACAAGTCTGCAGAACCTATTAGGAAGCGTGCAATCTCCTTGGCCTACTGGAAGATGATGGTCACTGGAATGACACATTAGAAGAGGCAGCAGCTACTCAATCGCCAATGAGAATGAGGAACCTGTTTGCCATCATCATTACTACATGTGGACTTTCCAACCCAAGCCAGCTCTGGAAAAACCACCAAGAAAGTCTTTCAGAGGATCTGCTTCATCAAGCAAGAAGAGAACATCCTGGTCAAGAGATAGAGTTCATGGATGACATGTTCAACAGGGCTCTGATCATGCTGGAAGACAAAGTGATGGAGCTATACGGAAAAAACATGACTGATTTTGGATTGCCTTCCCCAGACCGAGGAGAACCAGTAGCTGCAAACAGGGAGTTCCTCAGAGAGACAGACTACTCAGTTGAAGTTCTGGTGAATTTTCTTAAAGAAAGTGAGACTCACCTGGTGCCTGATCAAGCAAATTCTTATGAACAGATCTTGCAAGTGATACAAGCGGAGCAGGGAGGTATGATCTTTCTCGATGCATCTGGCGGGACAGGAAAAACATTCCTGATCAACCTTCTGTTGGCCAAAGTACGTCATCAGGGGAAAATTGCTCTTGCTGTGGCATCCTCAGGCATTGCTGCAACACTACTAGAAGGAGGACGTACTGCACACTCAACTTTTGAACTGCCTCTCAACCTCGCTCAAAATGAGAATCCAGTGTGCAACATCAAAAAAGGATCGGCAAAGGCAAAACTCTTAGAAAAATGCAGCCTCATAGTCTGGGATGAATGCACTATGTCTCACAAGTTAGCGTTTGAAGCATTGGACAGGACCTTGCAAGACATACGAGAAAATGACCATCTCATGGGTGGCATTACAATGGTCATTGCTGGAGACTTTCGCCAGACCCTACCTGTCATTCCTCGAAGCACTCCAGCTGATGAACTGAATGCGTGCCTCAAGGCATCATACCTTTGGAGAAGTGTTCAGACACTCACCCTATCCACAAACATGAGAGTACATCTACAAGGAGATCAGGATGCTGGACGGTTTGCAAACCTTCTACTACAGATTGGGAATGGAACTTTCCCTGTTGATTCAGAAGGACAAATAATCATTCCTCAAGGATGTGGAAATGTTGTAAAGTCCTCAACTGAGCTCACTAACATGGTCTACCCAAACATTATCCACCACTACAAGGATCACAAGTGGCTGCGTGAACGCGCAATTCTGGCACCAAAGAATGAAACAGTGGCTGAAATCAACATGACTCTACTCAGACAGCTTCCAGGCAGTGAGACCTCATTCAAATCTGTTGATACAGTAATCGACCAGGACCAAGCAGTCCAGTACCCTGCAGAATTCCTTAATTCTTTGGAGCCCGCTGGAATGCCTCCTCACCACCTCCCTCTCAAGATTGGAACTCCTATAATGCTCTTAAGAAATCTTGAACCACCAATCCTCTGCAATGGCACAAGGCTGGTGGTGAGGAACATGTCACATGTACTGGAAGCTACAATACTGACAGGAAAAGCTAAAGGAGAGGACGTTTTTATTCCAAGGATACCTCTCATCACCACTGACCTGCCATTTGAGTTCAAGCGACTTCAGTTCCCGGTTAAAGTAAGCTTTGCCATGACCATCTACAAAAGCCAGGGACAGTCCCTAAAGATGGTTGGCCTAAACCTGGTGTTTCCTTGCTTCTCTCATGGACAGTTCTATGTTGGATGCTCCAGAGTGGGAACTGGCAAATATCTGTACATACTTGTTGCTAATGGCCAAACCAAAAATGTGGTCTACCGTAATGTACTACAGTGAGACAATGTGGAGCCTCCCGGAGGGTGGCGTCCTATCGTGGCCTAGCGAAATCGCCGCCCTCAGGGCGGCGATTTCGCTAGTACCCTATAAAACAAAATATGGCTCTTACATAATGTTTTAACCAAAGCTAAATAACACTGATAACAAGAAACCTTGTAAATCAAAACATTATACAATTGATATTTAAATACAGGCCGTGAACCACCCTCATTGATATTGGTCGTTCTCGGGCATCACCTAATTAGTCAACCACAGACAGCTGTGTGTGCCAACACATGACACTAACCTTTTCCTTTTCTAGTTTTAATTTCTTTCTCTTATTTTTTCGCCCCCTAGGCCCCGTTGTGGGTCGATGACCTGTGTGCGGGTGGGTTTATTCACCGTAAAAAAACAAAAAAAAATCTCTGGTCCCAGGTAACGTGGGTGCCAACAGACCCAGGTCAAAACCTCAGCTTCTACTCCGTGTCAGAGGACGGCCGGGTGTCGGAATGGACTGTACGGCCTTCATCGCTGGAAGTTACGGACGTGCTGAAATTCCATGGGCCTGTTCAGTCGTTCAGAAAATCGCCAGCCTCAGCCCCGCTGCCTCTAGAGGGTGAGTACTGTACCGCATTATTATTGGTCTGATCTTCTGCATCAAGATCTTGTTATGTAAAGTTACCTTAGACAGATATTTCCCCCATTTGGTGATGCTTACATTAATGTTGCACGGTCGCAATGCCAAATTTATGAGTGAATGGGTATTCTAACGGTTGAAGTTGATTGGGGGACAAGTTCTGGTGCTGGACGTCAGGAGATGGGGTTAGGGGAGAGTCCCAGTCCCAAAGGTAAACTGAGGGTTATCCCACCTCCATATTATCGTGTTAAATAAGTAATTCTCCTCATTCTTATTTTGATATTTCATGACAACTGAGCACACCTGTGAAGATGAACCCCACACCTGCCACGACCACAGCACCCCACACCTGCCACGACCACAGCACCACACACCACGATGCATGTCTACCAATTTCCACATTTATATTTAGTGTCTCTTACGGTCTGTATACTATGCTTGCCGGTTTTACGCGATTAAAATAAAAATTACAGATTACATTGTATAACTATTTATTGATAGTCATTTATACAGGTGGTGTCAGAGTGGAGTCATACATAGAGATGATCATATCAAAAGTATTATACAGTTAGTACACGAAGGGATGCATTTTAGCTGTGATATAATGTGTCCTTTTATGTATCAATAAAGAATGACATTTTGCATATAATCAATAAGAACTTCCTACTGATAGACATTAGGTTCACCTTCAATGCAGGGCCGTGGGGCACATTAACTGCAACTTATAATAATATAGTATTGCCAACATAATATTGTAATGTCTGTATTTTATTTATTGGATTATTTACGTATGTACGTAACAGTAACTTCTAGTAACAGTGTAAGACAGTGATGGGGGAGAACAAATTATCTCTACCGTTACCAACTGTTAAGTGACTGTTACTGTTGTATGACAACTACTTGTGAAGCTGTCATGTGTGTAACAACCTTGCTGGATGGTCACACTTGTAACAGGCACTGGTGAAGCTGTTACCTTATATTCTAGCCGAACTAGAACATAGATAAATGTTTATTGGGTTTTCGTAGCGAAACCCAATAGTTCCTTTTCTTAGTTTATGATCAAAAGAGTCTCTGTACACTGTCCAACGGATAATCGCCGTAATAGTCACTGTGAGGGCTAGGGGAAGGACGGAGCTATCATGGATAGGCTCTGAGGACATCCAACTGTAGTGAGAACTGAGTAAATACTGCCCAGGAGTCAAGCCCAAGATGTCATCACCAACCCTCCAACTGACAAATTCGCAGCTCTACGAGATGCTCTCAAGAGGCGATACCAGCGGCCTGGCGCCAGTCTCCTGCAAGACCTAACAAGTCTAAGAAATTAGACTACTGGCCACATACACTACGGTACAAGAGCACAACAGAATCCGAGTCAACAGTCCTGATGATTACTTTTCTGCATCCTTCATGTGCTCCGTCTGCAGCATCCAGAACTATACGGATGAATGACTCCTCATGTGAACATGGTTATAGTCCTTCTGTTGGATAGGTTGGTTCCAAGCATATTGCATGGGTTCTTGATATGTGACCAATACAATACCTGGAAACTCTTTCAGGTTGGCCTGGATACTGATAAGAGTGAATAGCTCTTTCTTATTTGCACTCTCAAAGAGAGACTGGCCAATTTCCTTTGAGCTTTTGTCCTCCCTAAACACGTCGTCTGTTACCATGTTCCTTTTTTTCCTCTTGTTCCTGGTTTCAGAATACTGTATCTGCTTTGTATACATCAAACACCATGTCAACACGTCTCACAGAGCCATGAAATTGCCGCCTGATGTATTTGATGATCTGGTGAAGATAATCATCAAAACTCTTGCAAGTATCTGGCGTAACAATGTTAACAGTTGCTGCACCATCAAGAATTACCATATCTGCATATGTTGGAAACGGGAACTGTCACGTTGTGGTACCAAGTCTTCGAGAAGAGGAAATATGTAACTTAATTAAAATTCTCATATCTCTATAGACAGATAATAATGGGGGTTTGTTACATTTATTAGTTACTATTATAGTTTGTATGTATTTGAAGTGAGAACACATTATAAGAGTAAGTCTGCTATGTGTTACCATAGAGCAAGAATTGGTCACATCGAGGTGACAAGAGTCCCCATTTTACTTGATAACTTGGATTTCAGAATGAATGACAGTGTCTGAAAACATATATAAAGCCACAAAAATAAAAAGTATAACTGCAAAATAAGCCGAGAAATTGCATATTTTAATGTGATATCACGGCCACCAGCAGGCAGATACAGATTGCCTCCAATATTTAACATGTTCCTCGTGGGTCCGAGTATCAGTGTACAAAGTAAGTTGCTTTAGTCAAAAAGTGCATGATTTTTTCCTTTATCCTCTGGACTATATCAACGTATTCACACACACGCCGAGACCCTTCACTATGAACGTATCCATGTGATCGTGGGTATTTTATATCACACAATTGTTTTAAATTAGTTCTGGAACTCTTAGGTGGCCGGGCTGATGTAAACACTTATTCTGGAGTTTCTTTATTACAGAAGCGGCTTTATACACAGGCACTTAGTTTGGGAGAGAATGTATTGTAAATTCTCTTCAGGGGAAGTGTTTTGACTACACTTTTATAGAACACTTAAGTGAGGTGTTCACGCTCCTGTAAGTGGCAAGTTTCTGCCCTCGTCTCACACTCAGACCATGAGAGAGGAAGGAGAAGCAGGCTGCTGTCATTAGTAAGCTTCACCTCGCTCGACTCCTGATGAATTCATAGACTCGGCATGTATAACATGAACAACTACCGAGTCATTGTTGAAGTGCTTAGTGAATAACTACGGAGTCATTGTTGAATAACTTGGTGAATAACTACCGAGTCATTGTTGAATAACTTGGTGAATAATTTGGTATTATACATTTGGGTGTATATTTATAAAACGCAAATGGTGCGGTTACACCCACCCACTAGCTGAAACTCTTAATTTTCAACTTGTCCACATACTAGCCGATACCCTTCACTATACGTATCCCCCCCCCCCCAAAAAAAAAAGCGGAGACCCTTCATAATCAACGTATCCAAACACGAGGAACATAAGACCAATAGAATAGAAGAAGGTGCAGCGGGCCTATTGACCAGCCTCGTTAACACCCAACCCCTATTGCTCACACACTGTTACGCCGTCTCTTAATTTACTTAAATATCCAGGTTCTAGGCGTAACCAAACAAAAAGTGAAGTAAATTAAAAGGGAATCAAAATAAATAAAGTAAACCTTTAAGAATTTAATTAATTAAATATTAACACAATAAAGAGCCTCGTAGGCTGTCACAACAAATTGATTCACCATCGAAACTTTTAAGACACAAGTGATACTAAACATCGAAACATCAAAAGAATAAAAATAAAGCATTGGATTACGTTAACACTGCATAAACATATAAAAACTAACACTGAAATTAACTAACGTGAAACAACACTGAATTACTTAAAAGTAACTAAGCAAATACTGATGGACACAAATAGAGACATAAATAGGTACTCACATAGATATACCACATTGGTGGCGACAGGAACAACACAAATAAATTAAGTATAAGTAACAGGTGACGAGTGTCACTCAAAGGATGTGAACTGTATGACAAGAGGACTGAACTAACTCAAGTCAGTTGGTGGGTCCTATATATAAGGTCGGCTCCCGCCACGCGACCCGCCGGTGGGTCGTTTAACGATGCAGATGGTCGTTAGAGAACAAAGAAAGCTGGTTACAATACTAAATAAATAAATAAGATGGGCTTGAACAAATAATAACAGTTAAAACCTTAACAGCACAGGTTAAGGTGACTAGAATATATAATAGTAAATATAACACATCATTACAGGAATAATATGGAACAACATGGGAGCATGTTATATATATATATAAATAGAAAAATACGACACGGTCGTAACAATACCTATCCAACTTATATTTGAAGCCATAGTGTTCGATTTAATGTTGAATTTCGGTAACTTGTTCCGCTCATCCACTACTCTATTACCAAACCATTGTTCAGCTATCTCTTGCCAAAATCTAAATGTGTTTAATTTAAACCATTGCCAATAGTTTGCTTCTGGTTGGATAGCTTAAGTACCTTTGTTATTTCACATTTGTTTTACCCTGATTTCCATTAATACACCTTGATTATATCGCCCCTCACCTCTCGAGGGACTGCCAATACACATGCTTTAATCTGTCTCTATACTCATTGGTCCTAATGCCCAGGGCTATTTTTGGCATCCTTCTCTGAATGTTTTCTACGGATTCGATATCCATTCTGTAGTAAGGTGACCAGACTTGATCAAGTAAGGTCTAACAAGTGCAAGATATAGGTTTAGGATAACTTCGCTAGTCATGTAAGTAACACTCCTTTGTATGAATCCGATTACTTTGTTAGTATTGTTTTGAGCAAATATTCATTGTTGTCTTGGGTTAAGATTCCTACCTATCATTACTGCTAAATCTTTCTGACAGTTAGATCTCATTATAATGACGCTGTTCATCTGATTTCTCTATTTACATCTCCTAGGCTAAGTTCTTTATATTTCGCCTGATTAAATTTCATCTTCCTTTTTCAGACCATGAGGACATTTCTTTAGACATTCGTGTGGTTGTGTAGAGTCCTTATCAGACTTAATTACACACCCTATTTTAGTGTCATCAAGTTTACTTATGCTGCTCTCTAAGCCTACATCCATGTCGTTTACGTATAACATAGACAGTAATGGTCCAAGTACTGAGCCTTGGGGTCATTAGTGCTTACTCTCTGTTTCCTGTCCTGTAACCACGCCCTAGTTCAATTTAGGATATCTCCCTCAATTCCACGAGCCTCCACTTTACTTGTTAGTTTCCCGTGAGGGAAAACTCTGTCGAAGGCTTTGTTTAAGTCGAGGTAAACTTTACCATAATCGTGTCCGTCAACCACTGATTCCAAAACAATTGAAAAAATGATAATAGATCTGTCAGACAAACATCCACTTGTGAAGCCATGGTGGGAATCATTGACTAACTTCTGTTTCTCGAGGTGATTTCAAATTGAGTTTGAAATTATTGCTTCCAACAATTTGCCAACAATTTCTCTGCCATTATCAGTTACCTCGCCATTATCTGACTATTGGTCCAATCTTGTCTTTTGTTTTAGTTTGATACATTTGAAAGAATCCTGTATGGTTTGAATTCACCTCCTTTGCTATCTTCAGTTCATTATTTTGTGAGGTTATCGTGGTCAGGACCATGACAAACTGGGGTCACCGTCTGTGGGCACTTTGTGAGGTCACACTACTTACACCCTCTCGGTGAGGTCATGTAGCTCACCCCCAAACATACCACTAGTTCTCTCAGCTGCCTTTTCAACCTGTCTTTGCTTCTGACATTAAGTTCTATTTTGAATCTCATTTTGTTGTTATCTCCGTAAGCTAGTTCGTTCCCTACATTGACATAACTAATGAGGTTTATTCTGCTAGAGAGAACTAAATCTAGTATATTATTCCCGCGGGTTGGCCTACTATACAGACTTTGCTCTGTCTGAATGCACTACACATTTCATCTCAAATAAGTTGCCCAACAGCCCTATTCAGATTAGAAGGCCTATATACGAGTATCACTCCTATGAATAATTTTCCCTAATGTCGGTTACGTCTTTCCATGTTGTTTCTGTATTTAATTCAGTTTTTATTTCCTTATTGATTCCACACTTCATTTTATCCCGGACATAGATTGCTCCTGCACTTCTTTTCCTACTCTACCTATCAGTAGGAAATAATTTGTAACCTTTAATTTGGTACTCGACAGGTAACTCACATGAGTCTAAGTTAATCCATTTTTCTGTGAATTTTATTGTATCGATTTTTTGGGTACATACCAACGCCCTGATTTCATCTATTTTATTTCTCATAATTCTACTGTTCCAGTTTGGTTTGAACTCTCTGACTAAGTTAGCGATATCATCATTCCTACCATAGCATGATTTCTCTGTAACCTTTCGTTATGTATCCCCGTGTCCACTGCACCTTACCTGTGAATCCCCAACAATTAAGGGTTTTTACCTTCCCTGTCGGCTTTGACTTTAACCGTCCATTTCGTCCTCCAACGGATTAAAAGAGTTAATACAGTTAACTAATATACTGACTCTCGTTAAAAAGTCCCTCTCCTCACTACCTCCCACTGGATTATGTTGCCGTCAGACACAGACTCTCCCCAGGTCGCATCTTCGTCCTTCAGCCTCGCAATCTCTTCATTCGGCCACACATTTTCGCCCCTTACCTTCTCAAGCTCAGCCTTCCGGGAGGAATAGAGCTGTTCCCAGTTAGTTGACATGGTAACACTCGCCGAGATCCTTCACTATCGAAGTATGAACACATTAGCTGAGACCCTTCACTGTCAACATATCCACAGACTAATTGAGACTTTTCACTGTCATTGAGTCCACACTATCTGAGACCCTTGACCCTCCTGCATCATTATTCATATACACACACTCACTTCACTGCCTGCAGGAACAGCAACGTGTGTAGCATTCAAGCCTGAGGACAACTCCCTGCTGCTGGTGGGTGTGGACACAGGCGTTGTGTTGGAAATACGTCTCTCATCATCCAATTATGCTCACACCCGCTACCCTGCCCACACCGCCCCTGTCAGATCAATTGTTTGGAACGGCCACCATCACCAGGTGTTTGCTACTTGTTCCTTGGACTGGATGCTCAAAATTTGGCTGCAGCACTATACGTAAGTTACTCTATCTCGGTTTATTTCATCACTGCCATTTGTTTCTGATATCTGACTACAAGTTGCTCCTAATGACTGACTGCTTCTGTATCTTTATTACTTTCACTTATGTCTGGTTGTAGCACCACATAAATTCCTCTTTATATGATACTGCAGCACTAAGTTTATGACAGTAAATGGGTCAAAGACACCGTAAGTTACGCCTAATATCTAGCTGTAAAATCATCATAAGTTGCTCTCAGTACATAACTGCAGCACTATCATAAGTTGTTCCTACTATATTAACGCAACGTCACCTTAAGATACTCCTGTTATCTGGCAGTTTTGTTGTAGTCTGTAAAATATCATGGCTCCTTGCTAAAGCTAACTCAGAACAGTTAACCTCCCACTATTACCGGGATAGCGTGACACTGCAGCTCCCACAGTACCTCTTTCGGTAATGGGGATATGGAGAACTGATACGCCAAATATTTACTATAATATGTCAACAGTGATACCTTAAACTTTATAGTATCTACCCTATTATTAAACAGATTGATTCACTAATTTTTCCTATACTGACTAGTGACTGGGCTGCAAGCGTTCTGACGGCTCGGTCCTGGGTCAGTCCTCTATTGCTCAGTCTGTACTCTGGAGTAGAATGAGATGTTAAGTGTTGGAAAGTCAGATTTAAAAAAAAGAAAATTCGACCGGTTGAAAATACAGCTGAGAGAAGGAGTTAGGTTTGGAGGTGAACTACATGACCTTACGAGAGTGTAAATAAAGTGACCCAATTTACCAGGTAAACTGACTACGATAACCTTTTAAGTGCAAAAAACTGCATTTCAATATTTTATGCCATTTGCACATAATATATGTTTGAAAACAGAACGGGACTTTATGGGCACCCTGTATTGTCTTTTGAGAGGCAAGTGACAAGTGTCCTTTTTACTTGCAGGTGCGCCCTTGTGACACTAGATCTGGGGGCCCCCGTGGCGGAGTTAACTTGGTGCCACTACAGCAGCAGCGTCATCGTCGGTGTGACGGAGGACGGCCGTGTTCATGTGTACGATCTGTTCCTTCGTAAATGTCGGCCACTGTGTGTGCAGAACCTGCTGCAGAGGCGACGCTCACGGCTAGTGTGTGTCGCTCTCAGTCCTTTTCACCCCGTCTTGTTGGTGGGTGGGGACAGGTGAGTGATGTGTGTGGGCGGGGATTGTTTCATATGCCTGATTGGCAGAGACATCTTATTCTTGCTGATGAACAACAGTACTTTATGATAGGAGGGGACAGGTGTTTATGATAGGAGGAGACAGTTGTTTATGATAGGAGGAGACAGCTGTTTATGATAGGAGGAGACAGTTGTTTATGATAGGAGGGGACAGCTGTTTACGTTAGAAGGAAGCAGGTGTTAATATTAGGAGTAGACATTTCTGTATATCAGGTAAACTTCAGACCATAAAGTTCTCTTCAGGTTATGTTATATAGAACAGTGAAAATGAAATGGATGTTGTAGTAGGAATACCTCTGACTATATTATGCATAATAATATATACTATGTCTCCGGCAGAGGCTACCTGGTTACCCTCAAGCTGTCGCCCAACCTGAGGAGGCCCCACAAGGAAGCAAAAGGGGCCGACGAGGTCAAACTGAAGGAGATTGAATTGTCTAAGATGGATAGAATTATCGCCACTACCAAAACCTAAATGAAGATATTTTTGTCTTGATTGTATATTCTTTTAATTATTATTTTTTTGTGATTAAAACCATCAGTGCGAAACCTCGATGTTCTATCTCCGACTTATCTGCCCTCATAAATATTATCTTTCTGTCCAGGTTATAACATTTCAAGGTACTAACTTCACTATAACAAAGAATTATTCCTCTACCATATGTAAGTCTGGTAGTGAAAGTAAAGATAAAATACTTCTCTGGTTTCAACGACAAAGAAGATCAGCGGCCATTGGGTTGTTGGTCACAATATTAAGATTTATTAAAAGGACAGTAAGAAAATTAATAATCTGAACAAGTGGTGTAAAGAGGAATCAACAATTACAGCACACCCTCGGTAAACAGCTGTAGCAAAGCATTGTAACATGTTCCCCAAAAGTACATGCAGTATTAGTCTTGCATCATCATTATACTGTATATAAAACGGAATTCCATCAATTCTTTAGAGATTAAAACTTTTTGTGCCGCTTACACCAGTATACAAAAGATAAGCTGACTCTAAGCTTATGAGTTCATTAACCTCTCTCGATTAATATTTATTTTAGATCTTATCTCAGGAACAATTTTATCCAAACTCTTGGTTCTGCATTAATTACGTCAATACTATTAATCTCTTATCTTTCTTAAAATTATCTTGTTACTTCAATATTTTTTTATGCAATTATCCTCTCAGCAATTGTAGGAGCTGTTAGAGGAATTAACCAAAGACGTTCACGTTGCGAATCCACAACCAACCATGGAACGCTCACTTGTAACAATATATATACTATATAACGCTAAATAAAGAACACCTCCAACTGTGCTTTAAAATACAACGCAACTTTTTTGCTATAAAACAATAACTTTTTGTTTCTATTGTGATAATTTAGTGGACATTAATTCGCATATGTAATAAAATTGCTGTGATTTATTTCAGAGGTGTTTTACCCTCTACCTGGATAGTTTTCTTGCAAAATCTTCATTAGTGTTGGTGACACGACATGACTTTTATAAGATTTGATAACAGTCTCTTTATGGTACAAAATACTCAATGTTTTCGGGTCTTCTAAGGGAAGTTTTCCTTATCTGTGTATATTAGTCCTCACTTTCCTTACTAATATCATCTTAATCTTTCATCTACATCCTATAGTTTACATCCCCACGTCTGCCAGTACACAACACTCTGTAATGCACAGAGGTTCATCACCGTGAGTAAGAGCGGAGTTACTGAGTCTTAAATAAGTTTTAGTTACGTATAAGTTCTTGCTGCAAGTAAATACATGTATATGACTTGTTAAGCACTCTTTTATGGAGCTCATTCTATATAATTTATTTTCTCCCAACTGATATTCCTACATACTTCTTTTACTTGGTCATTTTCTTGAAGACTAACGGATGGACTGTTCTTTGTTTGTGGTTATTGTTATATTATAAAAGAAGATGAATAAATTTTATCATTTGGTAATATTGCAGTCTACAGCTTGTGTCGCTTTATGTAAAAGAAAAATATCAAGAATGTCTCTTAATATCGCTGTAGTGTAGGTAAGCGTACCATGACAGGGGAACTTAGTCAGCTGGTGTGAAGCATCACTGAGTACGTTCGCACGGAGTCATCACTAACCTTGAGTCGGTCTACAAAGGACACTCATATCTTGCGTTCCCTCATTTACCTCGTTGCCCAATGCTAGTGTTCATGTGACAGTTCAAACCAATAACTGGAGTGTAGAACTCTCTTGGCGTTACGTTGAGGAGGAGGATTCATACCAATAAAACATCTTACACTATCCATGCTCTAACAGAACAATGTGAGGAAATATTTTTTTTCCAAAGACACACCGAGCTAAAAACTGTTAGTCATGACTTTACCCACTCGATGAAACAGTCTAAATCTATTCTGAAAGTGAATGACATAATATCTGGAAGGGATCACGACTGTTTTTGTTTTTTTCGCTACTTATAAGCTTACTAGCCGTTCAGGCGTTGGTCTTTCCAGTGTTAGTACAGGAGGAAACCGGGGAGCGAGACATCTGTGATAAGGGTGACTCTGGATAACACCATTCTCATGTGTGCCTGGACCAAGGCTCGAACCCTAGAGTTATTGGTGAGAGATTCACGTATACCGCTGAACCACCAACACCTCTATTGCTTCACCCCATTGTTTAACAAGACAAATGAAGACTAATCATTTTATTATTGACAGCCCCTTGCAAGGATATATTGACAAATAAATACCTTGGTAGTCAGGACAAACCTTATATCTTATTAACTAAAGAATATGAAGATTTAAATTTTGTTTAAGAAATTGGAGACATAAAGCAGTCCAAACACTTCAACAGTGCTTCCTAAAATCAACAAACAAATAATCTCTGTGCCAAAAACCCTCCAGGATTTAGAGGAAAAAAGGTAAGACCAAAATTTTCACGATTTTTGCTGAGGATAACATTAAGTGCTTATTGTCATCGTTAGATAAATGACGCTCGGGGAGTTCCATTAAGTATGACTGGAGTAATGTCCTACGAATACCAGATTTCTTTGACAGATGTGATAGAGATAGTGGAGCTTAACTAGCAACAGTGGGGAAGGTCTCCTTGAAAACTGTGATGACTCCGAAATACCGATCTCATTAACTGTATTTGAGATTCTTTAAAACTGTCATGGAGGATTTTGTTCCCTTCTTTGGAATATCTTCTTCCATGTCGCCTCGCCTCGTCAGTACAACTCAGAGAACATTTATAATTATAACAACCCCGTGGTGTAAGTCATGTGAGTCTGAAGCCACACGTTAGAACGGTTGAAATAGGATATAATTTTAATACAATTATCTCATATTTTATATCGTAGACGGTAGACACGAAAGCAAGAAAGTTTGGAGCTAGAGTATGTTTTTGTAATTTATACCATAAAATGTGGGATCTGGTCACTGTTACCTGCCAGACTTATCAAAGTTCTCATGGCTGAGTAACAAGTTATAGATAAAAATATTATTTTACCTTAATTGACGTCAGTTGTTGTCTGTCACCTGACGTTAATGATTACAATAGTGCAATTGACGTCACTAGTCATCCTCCTACTGACGTAATTCTATATGGGTAGCGTGGGAAGGCGAGTACCTGTATATCAACGGTGAGCTAGAGTCCTCCTCGCCACAGTCCCTCCAACCGCAGTCACAATGGGAGTCTTTGTGAAGATCCTCTTTCTGAGTCTTGCAAGTCTCGCTCTCCTCCAATCAGGTCAGTAATTGAAAATAGACTGCCTTGATGCTTAAAATATCTTTAGTTCATATTGCACCTTTTGGCAACTTCATCGGACAAATCCTTGGGTTTAAAAATTTCCCTATATTTATGCCTTCTGTCTTCATCTTCAATCGCCTTACGTTCCTTTCCAGATCATCTTTCTTGGCCTGTGTGCATTACCATTAGCTAACACTATTCATTAACAAATAACATACATGACAAGTGTAATGAACGTTGTTGGGTGAAAGATATTACAGTGTTCCTTTGTAAAGCATTTTTTTTCAGCAATTGTGAGTTAGTCACTATCTTATAAACATATTACTCCCTATAATAAAAGTAACTTAGAATAACAATAAATTCGTGTGAGCCTTGACCCTAGCGTCAGGAAGAAAGGCGAATCACAAATAAAAACACATTAACTGTCGTTTGCATGTGAGAATGGTCAGGAGAGATCCCAAATGACTAAATCACAAATCTTTAACAGACCAAACACACCTTTCGTCTGTAGGTATGGTGGAAGGTGATGTATATAACTATTGCCCCTCGTGTAACGAGGATGGCCGGCCCAAGGGCCACCAAGGCGTGAATTTGTTTAAGGTGTAGAAGCTGTCGCCAACACAACAACCACACCCTGAGCTAACGAACTGAGTGACCCAGTATCAAGGAATAGTCCGAGAAGACCTGACAACTCGTCAACTGCACAGGCTTAAGTCGATTAACATCCAGGTTCCCAATTATTACTGGGTAGACCATGGGAAATGGCGTAAAGAAACTTGCCCATAGTTTCACCCTGCCGGGGATCGAACTTGGGCTACTCACTTGCGAGGCGAGCATTCTGACCATTGCACCAAAGTTCACCGATCACGTAAATGATAAACCTTACAAACTTGTCTACCGGCAATGTATATGTTTGAAGGGTCATATATAAGATGTGACTAAAACACCTTTATATTTGTGGTTCTGGTGTGTGGGTTAAACATAACATAAAGTTCATACATCTGTTTATCTGTGGTGTGGCGCTCACATAAAAGCTAAAGTTAATACAGCTTCTTCATTGTGGTTCACAGGTGTGGGGTGGTCATATATATAATATACTAAATGTGTCCTACAGGTGTGGAAGGGAGCGACATGTGTGTGTGCTTCTCCATAAGGAGCGCGTGGAACGGCAACTACGACGCAGACTTTTCCGTCGTCGCCACCACCAGGTTCACCGGCCTCACCGTCCACCTCACTTTTGACATTCCCGTAGACTCTCTCACCGTGAGTACCATACCTGTCGGTCTGTCACTCTCTCTCCTCTTTCCTCTCTATTGTTATGTCACCGTCGACACCTTCATGCATAATATCCCCTCACCACCACTTCTACCTCCTCCTTAGTGCACTCCTTCCTTTTCACCAGTACTACCATCTTCCAACTACTACTACCACCCTCCATCACCTCCCTACCACACCTACCATCTCTTTCCACCACTACACCCTCCTCCCCTACCAACACTGCCACTACCTTTGACACCACTATTAATATCTGCTTTTACTCACCACCACCATTTATTGTATAGTAGATTGGCTTTAGAAAATTAGCCTGACATGGCGGATAAGAGCTTGAAATTTGGCATGAAGTTTTCATTGTGGAGCTACATGAAATATATATATATATATATATATATATATATATATATATATATATATATATATATATATATATATATATATATATATATATATATATATATATATATACTATATATATATATATATATGTAGGTTACTCAGGAGGGTGGCGACTCTGCTAGTACATATAACAAAATGTATCATTCCCTCCCTATTTAAAGCGGAACCAGACGTTAAGACAGCCATTCTTATCCCCAGTACTTCCAAGGAGATGTGGAGCAGGTGGACAGCACGCACTTCACCCTCACCGACGAAAGGTTCCACGCCGCTCCAGGAGACGAGGTCACGTTCGGGATCGAGGTCCACTACACAGACCAATCTCCAACCATCATCGACGTCGTCATGAACGGCGAGAACGTTTGTGGTGAGTGACTGAGTGAGTTAGGATCGTATGAGGAGTGAGAAAGAGGTCTTTAAGGATCCTACTTTCTTAATTATTAAGACATTAGGAGTTCTATAATCCTATAAAGAGTAATGCGTGAGAGAGCACTTAGAGGTCCTATATCCTCGTAATAACTGATAAATTCTTTCAATTCCCGCAGCTATAAAATGCGCCAAACGAAATTTGCAACAATATCAGTAATGAGAGCTTCTTTGCAACTTTGTATGGTCCTATGAGTCTTACCGTAAATCCCTCACTTAAAAGTCGTTGTAATATATATATTCCTATTATGGTCCTAGGAATATACCACATACCTCTCCCTTAAGCACCTACCTCTCCCTCCACCACCTACCTCTCCCTCCACCACCTACCTCTCCCTCCACCACCTACCTCTCCATTCACGACCTACCTCTCCCTTCACCACCTGCCTCGACGTTCACCACCTACCTCTCCCTTCACCACCTACCTCTCCCTCCACCACCTACCTCTCCCTTCACTCACCTACCTCTCCCTTCACCATCTACCTCTCCCTTCACCACCTACCTCTCCCTTCACCACCTACCTCTCCCTTCACCACCTACCTCTCCCTCCACCACCTGCCTCTCCCTTCACCACCTACCTCTCCCTTCACCACCTACCTCTCCCTTCACCACCTACCTCTCCCTTCACCACCTGCCTCGACGTTCACATTTTTTCTCTCCTTCATTCCCTACAGATGGATCAGGAGACTGGACAACTCCTACTAACATAGAAAACCCCTGTGATCAGACTGGTATGCTGCCCTACGACTATAGTCAGGTAACTGTGTGGCCAATTAACCGATTCTGAAATGGCCAGGTAGTATAAAGTTTACATTTTCAAACTTGAAGAGATTATAAAGACATTTGTAAGTCAATTATTGTTCGCGCATCACTGATCGTTTGTATATCCCTCATTGTTTACAAGTCCGTTATTGTTTGAAATTCATTTATTGTTCGTTACTCATTTATCGTATGTAAGTTAGTGAAGTAACAGCAGTAAATACTATATTTCTTGCCTACATTTTCAGCTTTTGAGACAATGTAAATACAGAGAGTTTCTGCCTTTTCTTGCCTTCTTATTTAATATGTTGTAACTGCTCAGGTGTTGTGCATGTCGTACGTGTTCTACGAGGCTCAGCGCTCAGGTAAACTGCCGGCTGATCAGAGAGTCACCTGGCGTGGAGACTCAGCCATGGGTGACGGCTCTGACGTGGGTCACGACCTTACTGGAGGCTACTACGACGGTGAGAGAGAGAGAGAGAGAGAGAGATTTTGTGCCATAAATTTGTTTCCAGTAAAAATATTATTATTTTTGTTTAAAGTTTTAGGACCGACAAGATTAAAAACAATTTTTACGTTTCTATATCAGCTGGTGACCACGTCAAGTTTGGCTTCCCGATGGCTTACACTGCCACCGTACTCTCCTGGGGACTTATAGACTTCGCCAAGGGACATGAGATTGCTGGTAAGAGCCCAGATAATATTATGAGGAAGGACACAATTGCCAAAGTTAGTAAAGTTACATACTATATATCACAGCACTATTTGGACTTTCTATAATGTGAAATTGGTAATGTTTCACTAGTATCCATCTCATTGATAACTATATAAGTGAAACAATATTAGTCATATATATTATTTAACAAATTGAGAAACCAACAACAGTGTCCAAAAAAATGCAACAATGTCGCATCCCCCAACATACTTATCTGTAATAGCCGAAATAAGAAAAAGTACACTTGTAGATAATTGTATCAAGATTGTTATCTGGTTATCCAATTGTATTACACATTTTTCAGAATTTTTTCCACGTAAGGTCGCACAACCAAAGGAATCAACCAATTAACAAATAAGTGGATCAACAAGTAAATTAATAAGTCATTCTCCTCACAGATCAGGTTGATTTTGGTCGTGCGGCGGTCAAGTGGGCTACAGACTACTTCCTGAAGGCCTACACTGACCACTATGAGCTTTACGGCCAGGTGAATTGTTATTTATTTACCCTGTGACCCGGAGAGTAATAATTGTAAGTAACACGCACGCACACACACACACACACACACGCACGCCATCTACTGTTAAAATAATAAACAGCTCCTGATTTATTCACTGTACAGCCCTGTAAATGTATTGGACGTATATCATTATGTCTAAATCACATGTAAGTTTGTATATTTTCAGCCACCGGCGGCAACTCTATTAATAAACCGTTTATTATTATTATTATTCTTATTACACACACACACACACAAACCCTTTCCCGTATCGTGATAATTCCTTCAAAATACAGTATAAGTAATGCATTTACTGATAACATGTTAATATGAAAAACTAACACAGCCACTTTATAATCGACAGGTGGGTAAGGGGCAGGTGGACCATAACTACTGGGGACGGCCTGAAGATATGACCATGGAGCGACCTGCCTATAAGATCGACGCTAGCGCTCCAGGTAAATAAGTAAATAATTTGTCCGGTAAGTGATTGACTCATGGAGTAAGTGATCAGATGAAAGATTCATGTAGTGATAAATTTCTCCGAGGCTGACTCAAATGTTTCCAGTTACTTTAGTGTATTCATGGCTATTGGCGAGGTGTGATCTCTGCTGGGAAGAGTGAGAGAGAAAAATGCAAACCCACCTCCCTCTCCCGCAGGATCTGACCTGGCCGCCGAGACCGCCGCCGCCCTCGCCGCCGCCTCCATGGTTTTCCAAGTACTGTCGTCTTCTCTTGACTCACCGACACTCTGTCATAGATCTTGGGACATTTACTGCATGGATATTCACAACTCTCTTGGCTAGAAATCGTCCAGTCCAAAATGTCCAAAATTATATACTCAAGTTCTTCACGTTCATAAACAAAAGATCTAATGCTAAATAATAAAAGCCAAATTGCTTAAGTCCGAAAAGTTCAAATTTAACACTTTCACTCAAGTCCTTTCGACTTCGGCATCAGTTTTAATGCTAAACTTTGATTATCACACTTAAACAAGTATCTGTTTATGTTGTAATTTATAATTAAACTGAGCTTGGATGTCACCTTATGTGTCCATTTGCCCAGCTTCCTCCCTGGTTTCTACCTCTCTGTCTCCCTACCTCCATAGTTGCCTGCCTCTCTCCCTCGCTAGTACCTACCTCCCTAGTTCCTACCTACTTGTCTCCCTTCTTCCCTAGTTCCTACCTACTTGTCTCCCTCCCTTCCTGCCCTCTCCCCCATCATTATTACTCTTCCTTCCTTCCCTCTATGTACCCCTCACTTGCCATTTTCTTCCCTTCCCACTCACTTAATTCCTACCTACCTGAACATATCCTTCACCCTGCATCCTATTCTCCTTTCCTTCGCTCTTTCCTCTCTCACTCACCACCTCCTTATGCTTGGCCAGGAAGTGGACAGTGCATACTCCTCGAAGATGCTTACGGTGGCCAAGGAACTGTACGCCTTCGCTGATGAGGACCGTGAGGTGTACAGCAACTCCATCACCGACGCGGCAGACTTCTACAAGTACTGTACATTCCTGTTGCTTCGGTGCTGTCCAATGTCCATGCTTCAGTAGACAGATAGTTTCAGGAGAAAAATAACTATAATAATACTCGGTCAACTGTAACTAAATTCCATACACAAGTTGTATATATACTGTTGATTCGTCCTATCAATTCTGGTTTCGGGCAGAGAACAGACATTCAGCTAATGAATCATGATACTTTTTTTTCTCTGTTAGGTATATCGCTCTTCTCATGGTTCTCTCTCTATCTCTTGCTTTATTTATTTACGTGTGTTTGGACATGTCTGTTTCTTTCTCCCTCTCTATTCTTTCTTTATATTTGCTTTTCTCTTTTGTACTTTGATAATTTACTCGGTATATCTTTTATATGGACTATCAATTCGGGCAACAATGAGTTTGTAGCTATTAAATGAGAGAGAGAGAGAGAGAGAGAGAGAGAGAGAGAGAGAGAGAGAGAGAGTTTGCCATGACCACCTATACCACTTTCAAATAGTATTACATTATGACATGACTACCTACATCATCTTCAGATACTATTACATAATGACATGACTACCTACACCACCTTCAGATAGTGACACATGGTGACGTGACCACCTACACCACCTTCAGATAGTGACACATGGTGACGTGACCACCTACACCACCTTCAGATAGTGACACATGATGACGTGACCATCTACACCACCTTCAGATAGTGACGCTTACTGACGTGACCACCTACACCACCTTCAGATAGTGACGCTTACTGACGTGACCACCTACACCGCCTTTAGATAGTGACACTTACTGACGTGACCACTTACACCACCTTCAGATAGTGACACATGGTGACGTGACCACCTACACCACCTTCAGATAGTGACGCTTACTGACGTGACCACCTACACCGCCTTTAGATAGTGACACTTACTAACGTGACCACTTGCACCACCTTCAGATAGTGACACATGGTGACGTGACCACCTACACCGCCTTTAGATAGTGACGCTTACTGACGTGACCACCTACACCACCTTCAGATAGTGACACATGATGTCGTGACCACCTACACCACCTTCAGATAGTGGCACATGATGACGTGACCAACTACACCACCTTCAGATAGTGGCACATGATGACATGACCACCTACAGGTCGTGGAGCGGGTACGGGGATGAGCTGTGTTGGGGAGCTCTCTGGCTCTACCGTGCTACAGGCAACGAGGCATACCTAACAAAGGCCCGTGCCGCGTGGGACGAGTTTGACCTGGGTACTGATGCCATTCAGTTCTCTTGGGACGACAAGAGGGCCGGCTGTTATGTATGTTGATATCAAAGATAATTGTTTTTATTAATTAACTACATGCCTTCATCCAAACTTATCCTTGTTCACAATGAAAGTTAAAAGTTAAATGTTCTCCTGTGGTGATTGCAGCAACATTTATTTATCTTTCTTGTTTTGTCGATTTATGCACTGTGGTAACGGGGAGGGTTTAGCTCACAACACCCACGTGTCTTCGCTTCTTCAGTGCTTGTTCACCTTGCTGGACAAGGACTCAAAAGAATACCAGCAGTCCCTGGAGAACTTCCTGGACTACTTGATGAACGACGCGCCCTACACACCCCAGGGCATGGTCTTCCTCGACATGTGGGGAGCCAACAGACACTGTGCCAACGTCGCCTACATCGCTCTCTGGGTAAGTTAATGACCTGCTTTAAATAAATAAAATATTGCACAAGGAATGAACAGAAGCTAACGAAAGGATTATTTCCATAACGTGTGTTAACGTATGGTTGTTTAAGTAACTCTTAATAATGCAAATCACTATTTGGTACTATATCATTTCGATGTTGACTATACAGTATGTTATTTTTCTAATGTTCGCCAAATATATTTTAAAAGCTCATTGAGGTGGATAAATGTTTGTTGTTACGACTTTCAGTAAGGTAATCATTCGGTTGAATCTTTTACCAATTTTAAAGAAGGGACTTTTAATAACTTACATTGATTACTTACAATAATGTTAAGATAAAACATTTTTGAAACCATGTTTCGAAAATTTATACTCATTCCACTTGTTTATACCATGAAAAAGACTAAGCTTTCAGTTACATTAGCTTACACTTTTCATGTTTTTAACACACAACAAAGAGATCATTCAAGAAGGTTCCACATTCGGTTTCATACTCTGAATTTTATTTTTAAATGTTTGCATATTAAATCTATTTGAGAACATGAAAAAAATAAGTTTTGGTGCTAAAATAATCAAATAATGAACTCGTCTGTACCACAGACTGAACATTTGTTGCTTTATATTTACAAAGTTTTGGTTGTGAAAAAGTAGGAAGGTTTGCTGTTGCTATGTTACCAAGGCCCGCGTGTACCTTCCTCATGCAGGCTGCCCAGTACGGCGATCAGTCCAAGAGCGACAAGTACCGGGAGTGGGCCCAGGGCCAGATCAATATCTTGCTGGGAGACTCTGGTCATTCCTTCGTTGTGGGTTATGGCGTGGATCCACCTGCCAGGCCTCACCACCGCTCCAGGTACTTAACACACACACGCATCACTACATATAACACCATCCATCATCACTACATATAACACCATCCATCATCACTACATATAACACCATCCATCATCACTACAGATCGGTAAAGTAGTTTCCGAGATTCTCGTGCGGACACATACACAAACAGATATACTTCTTTGTTTTATATAGATAGATAGATGAGTAACCTCTGACATGTGACTCCGTTTTGCAGCTCCTGCCCGTGGCCTCCAGCATCCTGCACTGACGGGTGGGCCCAACAACAACCAGGACCAAACCCTCACACCCTCTTCGGCGCCCTTGTTGGAGGTCCTTCCAAGGTCCGATTCCATGTGACTTCGATTTTAAGTTCTCTTAACTTGGAGTGGATACCGCTCTCGCATCCTATCCTATGGGTAGCTGGTATGAAAACGCAGCACTCCCAAGTCAGTCAGCTATAAATGGTTACCAAAGTTTACAAGCTGAGGAAATGAACGGCGGTCAAGGGCAATGCTTGAAATGCTACCCCTTATGTACTAAAGGCTTGGTATCCTGTGTGCTGTTTTCACATTGTCAATTCTTTTGACTTAAGCCATCCCACTTGAGATTAACCTTTAAATTATCCTTATTTAAGACATGCCATAACAGACTGTCACTAAGATATCATTAAACCTTCAGATCACATTATTTTCCACCATCCATAAAAATAATTCTACAAATTAATTTTTAATCATTAAGTCCTCAAAACTCATCTTCTTTAATTAGTGTTATGTAGCTAACAACACTATACACCCTCCCCCCTCCCATGCCAAAGGTGAAACCCCATATAAAAATCACGTTTAAATTGGGAGTGGGGTTGACTCCGAAGGATCCCACCCTCGCCTAAAAGTGATACCTGCATAGAAGTCAGTGTATTGCAAGTGATAGTTTAGATGATGCGGTGTTGATAGTGTACTGGAAGCAGTATAGATGATAGGGTAATGGATAATATGTAGATAGTGGAAGTGATGTAGTAGATAATACTGTAGGGAAGTAGAGTATGCGATATTGTAGTCACGCACAGAGGCTATAAGCAGCCCCTCAGAAAAAGTAAAAATACCCCCTGTAATAATAAAGATATATTAAAAATCAGGCAATGCCGAGTACCTCAGTTAGTTTGACATATTTCTGTTTCAAGATTTATATTTCAAAGCAATGAACCGGAAACATATAAAACAGGTATTATTTTAATTATGTACTTGAGTTAAAGCTAGCATCTATTTGTTTACCATATTTTTTTAACATAATTATAAAATCTCACCCTCTGATGAGCGTTAAAAATAGCATAATGAGGTGTATTCTCGAACCTGAGTGGGAGCTTCATCACTGTGTTTCTCCCCGCAGGACGGCACCTACTCCGACGACCGCAATGACTACGTGCACAATGAGGTCGCCTGTGACTACAACGCCGCCTTCACTGGGGCTATCGCTGCCTTGGTTGAGCTCAACTAGACGATCAAGACGATGTTGGATAAGCTGTATTAAACAAAATAGGGACGATTTACCGATTACACTCGGCAGCAAATTTTAAAACAAATATCCGTAACATGGTTCAGAGTAGCTTCCCTTTGGTAATTTTGAGGTGCTGATTTCAAATCTGGCAATAAAAATTCTCTGGCACGTACAGTTTATTTGTTATACAAAAATTAAATCTTACAAATACAAAAACTGAAAAATATTATTTTTCCTGTTATTCCTGTTACTTTTTTCCACGTCACCACAATAAAATTCAATAAAGAATGAAAACAATCACAAGAAGACACAAGAAGTATTACATTAGCCACTGTAGGGCATTTGTTATTTTATTTCATCCTTTTATGTGTTGTGTTGTCCTTCGATTGTAAACACCAGCAATAGTCCCCCATCATGGCCGGGTCCCCTCTACCCTGGGACCTCTCCTCCATACGTTTAATGTCCTGATGAAATCGCTCTCCCTGTTCATCACTAACCGGCCCAGATTCTCAGGAGAAAGGTCCAAGTGCGAGTGTAGGAGGTGGACCTTCAGGGACATCTTGCATCCTAAGTTTTTGGATTTTTTTTTAAGAGTTCTTCTACAAGTTGGCAATAGTTTTCTTTCTTCTTGTTTCTAAGAAACACCATGACTACAGATGTGAAGGATTTCCATTCAGTTGGCTCATTTTCATTCAGTTTGTTTTCAAAGTCGTCATCACGAAGTAACTTTCTTGCCTGTGGGCCAACAAAGATACCCTCTTTGTCTTTAGCATCACTGAGCTGTGGGAATTTTCCCCTCAAGTACTCGAACCCATCACCTTGTTTGGCCATAGCCTTCACAAAATTCTTCATTAGTTCCAACTTGATGTGTAAAGGAGGTAGAAGTACATCGTTTGGATCTACCAGGGGAGTATATTTAACGTTGCATTTACCTGGAACAAACTCTTCTCTCTTCGGCCAGTCCTTTGTGTTGCAGTGTTTTTCTGTTGCTCCGCTGTGCCATAAACACAGAAAAACAGTAATATTTCGTGACCCTCCTTGAAGGTCCAGTAGAAGGGCTATTACCTTCAAATCGCCACAGATCTGCCATCTTTACTCCTTGTATTTGACAGCGGTCAGTATTTTCTCCATACACTGCCCTATCTAACCCCTATCTGAGATCGAATGAGACTTACGTGTTATACTGCAATAGCGCAACACAGGTGACTAGACCACGTGACCGTTTTTGTGGACCGACGCTTTCCCGTGATTGAGGAGCAACCAGCCTCGCGCTTCCCCAAGGCGTTAGCTTAGGCCTAGGTGACATATTTTCCGCCTAACTAATAACTTTCTTGGACACCTGTAACATTATTCAGACTGATAAACGACCTATAATAATTTCAACTTTAATAATAGTCCCTTACCTTCATTATTAATTCGGCAAACTACATTCAATATCGTATAGGCCTAGTTCCAAAAGCTCTCACTACGGGCAGGCACGCTCTCCTCCTCAGTCGACCTTGAAAGCTCAGTATCGCCCATGGCGCGGCGTTTGAAATTACACAGAATTTCTGAATATTACATATATATATATATATATATATATATATATATATATATATATATATATATATATATATATATATATATATATATATATATATATATATATATATATATATATATATATTTATTTATCTATTTATTTATTTGTGTGTGTGTTTGTGTGTGTGTAAATATACAATAAATACATGTATACATATACAGATATCACCCATAATTGTACACACACGTTTTAATAAACATATCGGTATGTATTTTGATTTCCGACAGTACTCATCTAGTAGTTCCCCTGGCATCAGTAGTGATACCTTCACTGGTTAGAGATGTGATGCGAGGGATGATAAGATACGACCAGGCGTGGGAAGGTGCATGGTGTACTGTATGTCAGTAGGTGGAGGTGTGAGAAGGTGCATGGTGTACTGTATGTCAGTAGGTGGAGGCCTTCCATCCTTTCCCCACCTTAACCTAAAGAAAAAAAAAAAAAATGGGTTGTCAGACCACAGCTTACATCTCAGAAACAGTCCAGATCTGACCTCACATTAGCCAGGTCAAATGTAACCCTCGCAGCCCAAGTCAAGGGGCCACAAATCAACCAGAGCCTCTCATGTCACACGGCCCCACCAACGATGTTAACAGGCAAGCATTCATCACAAGATTCCTCCAATATATACAACAACTTTAGTCTCAGAAAAAGTCCAGACCTGACCCTACATTAGCGAGGTCAAATGTAAGGAGACCCTCCTCCGCCCCCCCCCCCTATCAGCTCAACCTGACGGCTCGTCTCCCAGTATATAGGACATCGTAGTCCTCCCTCAAGAGAGAGTGTCTTGTAGCCAAGAAGGGCCAGCAACACGACCCCAGTCCCGCTCGAAAGAAGTCAGACAGAGAGGGCCGGAGGCAGCCGCCTCCGGTCGGGAGCGAGACTTCCCTCCGGTGCCCAGCTAAGCAGTCTCCCATAGAGACAACCCAGGACCACCTGCTAGGCCTTCCCCAGGTCACGTGAGTTTTTGTCAGAGCTTTCCATGGGATGAGTTACTTACGTGGGAAGTGTATTCATTTCATGTTCGTGTCCGAGAATCAGTGTCTAGTAACGTAATATGATGTCCTAGTAACGTAAATATAATGTCCTAGTAACTTCGATAGAAAGTGTTATTAATGTGTCCATGTCATTGTCGTAATTAATAAACAGTTGTAACGAAGCGGTGTTTGAGAAGTCGTCCTTAAGAAGTAATAAAAGTGTGTTAACGTATAAGATAAGATAAGTGTAGTGACAGACCAAATAACTAACACCGGCCACGCTACCAAAAGTCTTCATCTCTTTACATTTCCCTTACTATAAATATTCTACCTATATGTAATCTTCTTCTTGTGATTTTGTCTCATTATAGTGGGAAGGTGCATGGTGTACTGTGCGTCAGTAGGTGGGGGCATGGGAAGGTGCATGGTGTACTGTGCGTCAGTAGGTGGGGGCGTGGGAAGGTGCATGGTGTACTGTTGCGTCAGTAGGTGAAGGTGCATGGTGTACTGTGCGTCAGTAGGTGCGTCATGTGTACTGTGCGTGGGGGCGTGGGAAGGTGCATGGTGTACTGTGCGTCAGGTGCATGGTGTACTGTGCATCAGTAGGTGGGGCGTGGGAAGGTGCATGGTGTACTGTGCGTCAGTAGGTGGGGCGTGGGAAGGTGCATGGTGTACTGTACGTCAGTAGGTGGGGGCATGGGAAGGTGCATGGTGTACTGTGCGTCAGTAGGTGGGGGGCATGGGAAGGTGCATGGTGTACTGTACGTCAGTAGGTGGGGCGTGGGAAGGGCATGGTGTACTGTGCGTCAGTAGGTGGGGGGCATGGGAAGGTGCATGGTGTACTGTGCGTCAGTAGGTGGGGGCATGGGAAGGTGCATGGTGTACTGTGCGTCAGTAGGTGGGGGCATGGGAAGGTGCATGGTGTACTGTGCGTCAGTAGGTGGGGGCGTGGAAGGTGCATGGTGTACTGTGCGTCAGTAGGTGGGGGCGTGGGAAGGGGCATGGTGTACTGTGCGTCAGTAGGTGGGGGCATGGGAAGGTGCATGGTGTACTGTACGTCAGTAGGTGGGGGCATGGGAAGGTGCATGGTGTACTGTGCGTCAGTAGGTGGGGCGTGGGAAGGGGCATGGTGTACTGTGCGTCAGTAGGTGGGGGGGCATGGGAAGGTGCATGGTGTACTGTACGTCAGTAGGTGGGGGCGTGGAAGGTGCATGGTGTACTGTGCGTCAGTAGGTGGGGCGGAAGGTGCATGGTGTACTGTGCGTCAGTAGGTGGGGCATGGGAAGGTGCATGGTGTACTGTACGTCAGTAGGTGGGGCGTGGAAGGTATGGTGTACTGTGCGTCAGTAGGTGGGGGCATGGGAAGGTGCATGGTGTACTGTGCGTCAGTGGTGGGGGCATGGGAAGGTGCATGGTGTACTGTGCGTCAGTAGGTGGGGCGTGGGAAGGTGCATGGGGGTCTGGAAGGTGCATGTACTGTGCGTCAGTAGGTGGGGGCGTGGGAAGGTGCATGGTGTACTGTACGTCAGTAGGTGGGGCATGGGAAGGTGCATGGTGTACTGTGCGTCAGTAGGTGGGGCGTGGAAGGTGCATGGTACTGTGCGTCAGTAGGTGGGGGGCGTGGAAGGTGCATGGTGTACTGTGCGTCAGTAGGTGGGGCGTGGGAAGGTGCATGGTGTACTGTGCGTCAGTAGGTGGGGCGGGAAGGTGCATGGTGTACTGTGCGTCAGTAGGTGGGGCGTGGAAGGTGCATGGTGTACTGTGCGTCAGTAGGTGGGGCGTGGGAAGGCATGGTGTACTGTGCGTCAGTAGGTGGGGGCGTGCATGGTGTACTGTACGTCAGTAGGTGGGGGCATGGGAAGGTGCATGGTGTACTGTGCGTCAGTAGGTGGGGGCGTGGGAAGGTGCATGGTGTACTGTGCGTCAGTAGGTGGGGGCGTGGGAAGGTGTTTTGGGTATATCAGTGTTAAGGTTGCGCCCTCCGCTCCACAGTCTCTCCTTCCGCAGCCATGATGGGAGTCTTCGTAAAGACCTTCCTTCTGTGCCTCACTCTCTTCCACACAGGTATTGCCTCACCTACTGTACCTCACTCTCTTCCATACAGGTATTGCCTTACCTCTGGGGCCTCACCCTCCTCCACAAGAGTGCTGCCTCACCTCCCATTGTACCACCAAGTCAAACTTCTGTTTTGAAAAGAGCCTCTCCTATTTTTTACATCACTACCACGCTAATAAAGCTGTTTTTCCGAAGCTTGCTTCCTTTTATCGGTATTCTACTCGGCATCTCTACCCAGACGCGTTATTTGCTACTTATCACCAGTACAGTACACTGTAGGGACCTCACACACTTGATTATTACTCTTTTCCTGTTTAATTACTATCTCCTTTTCTGCACTCGTCTTTCTCCATGAATCCTCTAGCTGATCAATTGCAGGAGATACACCTTTAACTTCAACTAAGGTTTATCTAGGAGAGACTAATAAAGCTATTGTATACTAGGCCCAGAATCGGGTGCTTCCATTCACTACCTCTTTAGTAATGGTGTAACAGCCTCGTCACCTGTCATCTTCAACTCATTCGCGAGGGTGAGAGTGATGTAGTAAACGAGGCGAATTGAAACAGTATATATTGCCCCCAAAAGCTACATATATGAAT